TGAAATTAAACTTGAAATCCTATGAAAATTTTGAGAGAGATAGCTTGAATTTAAGCCTTTAATAGAGGAGAATGAGACTTGAAGAAGAGAGTTTGATGTTCTAAGAGTGTTGGCCGACTTAACCAAGGAAATATCTTATAAATATTTCATTTTTTTAATTCCCAAATGGGATTGGCCATCAAAAGTTAGAGATATGGGTCATTTGGTATAAATTTTGCATATAAGGGCATTTTGGTCATTTCGCCATTTGACTTCTTTTAAACACTTAGTAATTAAGCAATCCTATTAGGTAAATGACTAATTTACCCTTGGTGCACTTTTATGGATCCTTAATTCATATGGATTTGTATGAAAAGACCATTATACCCTTGGTTACCGTTTACGCCATTTAACCATATCAATAAACTTTACGACAATTCTACCCTCATTTCTCTTCAATGACATCACCCCTTACACTTTATAATGGCCACATCTCGAAATGCATGCAAATTGACCATTTTACCCTTCTATTCAAAAAAGGAAAATTACTTGAAAAGGTAAATTTCATACCTTAGGGCATCAGAATAATAACGTGGGGTTTACAATCATCCCCCCTTATAAGAATTTCGTCCTCGAAATTCAGTTGAAGAGGTCTGGATATCTTTCCTTCATATCTTGCTCAACCTCCCATGTCGCTTCTTCTACATTATGATTCCTCCACAATATTTTAACAAGCAGTACTTTCTTATTTCGAAGCTCTTTTATTCTTCTATCCAGAATCTGAATTGGACATTCTTCATAAATTAGTTCATCTTTTAACTCCACTTCATTTGCTTGTAGTATATGTGAAGGATCACTAACATACTTTCGCAACAGGGAAACATGGAAAACATTATGGATCCTATCCATACTGGCTAGTAAGGCAAGTCTGTAAGCTACTTTGCCCACTTTCTCTAATACCTCATATGGACCAATATATTTAGGGGCAAGCCTCCATTTTCTTCCAAACCTCATCACCCTCTTATAAGGAGAGATTTTCACAAACACTTTTTCTCCTACTTGGAATTCTATATCCTTTCTTTTCAGGTATGCATAGCTCTTCTGTCTGTCTTGGGCCTGCTTCATTCTCTCTCGGATTAACTTTACATCTTCTATCATTTTTTGTGTCATTTCTGGACCAAGAGCTTGAGCTAATGCATTCTTTTCTCTTATTTCGTCCCAATGTAACGGAGATCTACATTTCCTTCCATACAAGGCTTCATATGGTGCCATTTTAATGGTTGCTTGATAACTATTGTTATAAGCAAATTCAACTAGAGGGAGAATGTCACACCAATTCAACTTTTGATCTATACATCATGCCTGTAACATATCCTCCAATATTTGATTCGTTCTTTCTGTCTGTCCATCCGTCTGAGGATGATAGGCTGTGTTGAAATTAAGCCTAGTACCCAATGCCTTCTGCATGCTAATCTAGAATACTGACATAAATTTTACATCCCTGTCTGAGACAATACTACTAGGTACTCCATGTAATCTTACTATTTCTTTGACATATAATCGGCCCAACTGATCAGAGGAGATCTTGTCTGTAACTGGAATGAAATGAATAGATTTAGTCAATCTATCTACAATCACCCAAATGGTATTATAACCCCTTTGCACTCTAGGAAGACCTAAAATGAAATCCACATAAATATCTTCCCATTTCCACTAAGGAATACTAAGGGGCTGCAACAATCATGAAGGGCGCTGATGTTCTGCTTTAACCTGCTGGCACACCAAGCATCTGGTAACATACTCAGTTACATCTTTCTTTAACCCTGGCCACCAATAGCTCTTCCTCAAATCCTGCTACATCTTTACACTCCTTGGATGAGCAGTGTAGAGAGTACTATGTGCTTCCTCTAAAATCTTCTTTCTCAATTCAATATCCTGAAGAACATACACTTTATCTCTAAATTTCAGGATTCCATTCACCCATTTGAATTCTGATTCTTTGCCATCTTTCAACTGTTGCTCAATTCCTTTACTAAACCCATCATCTGCTAAAAAGAGGGCTTTTTCGTAAATCACTATATTTTCCACCCAAATCAGAGGGAAACATATTATTTGGGTAGTAAGAGGGTGTTTTAAAAGTTTGAGGGTGGAAAAGTGTCAATGAAACTTTTTTTGGGTGGGAACATGTCGTCAACTCTTTATGAAATGCTCAACTCATTTTAGCAAACTGTCTTCCATCAACAAGAAAACATCCCCACAAAACACATCAATACTCATCCATCATATGTAGCATCCACAAATTATAAATAAATAAAAAATGAAAACTAACCAGCTGTTTTTTATTACTTCACGGAAATTACGTGGGTGATGAGTTATTGTTAATTAATAAAACAATAAAAAATTTCCAGATGATGTCAGGATGGCCGAGTGGTCTAAGGCGCCAGACTCAAGTTCTGGTCTTCGAAAGAGGGCGTGGGTTCAAATCCCACTTCTGACAGTTAAACATTTTCAATTTTAAATGTTAAAATTATGGTTGGTCCTTTTATTTTGCAATTTGCATTTGCCTTCTAGGGGGATTGGGGAACTTCTAGCAGTGATTAATGTCATCCAAAAAAGATTATTCTTGTAATTAGTTGCATCTATAGCCTATAAGATTGAGTGTGATTATTTTTCGGTTGCAACAAGCACAAGCTTTTGGACTCTAATTTAAAGCCTCCAAAAGCCTCACTGCTCAATTTGAAACCCATGGATTAATTGCATGGTCAATCTCATGAAAACGAAAGTTGATATTATGGATAAACTACAATGTTTGATCCATTTCTGATCTATTATGGATAAGATGTAATGGACAAGAAAGAGTTTATTATTTAAGCTATCCAAATGTGCTTTTAAAGTATACATTAAACTCTATCTCAAATTCTTGGATTCTTTCTACATGTTATCCATCCTTCATTTCCTTTGCTTTTTTATTTAGCAATTTTAAGTACACAAAACCTTCGGAGCTGCAGCCTTGTGGACTATTTCTGCACCACTTTTAATCCTCCACTCAAATATCCAATCCAATCTTTTGATTCTTTTCAGTATTTTATATAAGGCCGAGGCCATTGCCCATACTGCTCCGCATCTTTCTCTCAAAATTTTACTTAGAGATGTGCCCTTCCTCAAATGATTCACAATTCACAGGCTTCTATTTGATTCTGGTTGGTGCCCCAGACCCACATTGGGGCACTCATTTATTACATGTTCAACTTGCAATATTGAATATTAAACTCATCAAGTTATATTGTGACAATTCAAAGTGCCCTTCACCTGTATATGTTATGAGCTCACATTTTAGGAGTCAATTTGATTGAGAAATACAAACTTTTTCATCATTTGGATTATAACAAGATTTGTTGTGATTTCTAAATATTAAAATTCCATCGACTAGTGGTTCCAGATTGAGACAAATGTGGCATGGCTGAATCCTGAATGTGTAAATCACTCTGGAAATGAAATATCCAAAATCCATGGACTTGTTCTGGAAGATACCTCTGCCCTTGGTTTTATCAAACCAAGTTCCAATACAATGGATTCCCTCCCTCTCTGTGGGTCACCGAAACCTCCAAATCCTGTGGGCAATACTTATATCCAATCTCATCCCATTAAAATAAAAGGAACGAAAAATTGAGATTGAGACGGAGACTGAGTGAACTTTATCTAGCATGAACTGGCATCATCCTCCGACAAATATCTGACTGTAAATTACCACCAAACAGTTAACATTTCAGTTAATCCGATTGCGAACAAAAAGAAAAGTTGTGGATAAGTAATTAAAATAGACTTTGTTTTTTTTGCACTAAAAATAGTAAAACGGGTTCATGTCGTGTCATGAAATGAAGGTTATAAACGTGTACTGTGAAACGAAAAGCATGGCCATGTACTTGGGAAGTGAGGCCTGAACCACTAAGTAAACAGAAAACAAGAGGAATTGTTGTATGGTATACTGTTTTCTCTCTATAGTAAATTCAACCTTATCCACGTTTTTCTGAAAAGCCATAAAACACATCTAATTACCCTAACTTTAGGCGTTTTAGGGGACAACATGGTAATATGACAAAACTATTTACCGGAAATAAAGAAAATCTTTTAAATATGCCCAACTCACTTCCTATAACAAGCCCTAATTATCCTCAACCAGTCAACTTGCACATCAGACACCGATTCCATTATCCAAATCGTGATAAATAAAGAAATTTACTATAAATGAAATATAATTTTGGTAATGTTTAAATCCAAATCAATTTGACCCCCCTTACCTCCTTCCTATATTATACCCGCAACCAACCTGTTTAATTCTTCTTCTTCTTCTTCTTCTTTCATGCTTTTGCCAGAGCAAATAAAACAAACTCTCACATTTCCTCTATTAAACTACTGTGTTCTAGTAAAAAGATCACATCTTTTTGTGAAAATCTTGCACCTGATTGGAAAAAAGAAAGTGGGTCTGGGTTTTTTATTTCTTGTTTCCAAAGGGTTTTTTTGAGTTTCTTTTCCTTGTTCCCAATCTTCAAATGCCGACAGTTTGTATTCGAGATATTGGCTTTAGATCCAAAAATGAATTGGGTTTTTGTGGGTTCTGCTTGTTTAATGCTGTAAGCTTGAGAGAAAAAAAAGCCTTTATTTACTTATAAAAATGTCCTGTTCATTGAAGTGGTTTCTACGTTTCTGGGTCCAATGAGACTCTTATTATTCCAGGCTCTAAAACCAAAGGGATGTTGGCTTTTTTCAAACCAGAAATTTTTCAGTTTAAGTATTGATTTCAATGGCCAACCGTTAGTTGTCTCGGATCAGAAACGTTTAGAGCTTGGAACATCAAAGCAACAACAAATTCGCTGTTCATGTATGTATTCTTGCTACATTTTTGCTTCTGAAAGAACTTTTTTTTTTTTTTTTTTAATAAATTTTGTATTGAATCTTATGTCCAATCTGGTTTCAGGCACGAGCACAGTCTGTGTTAGTAGATCTCTTAGATGGTGGGAGAAGACCCTTAAACCAACATGATAGAGATCCATTCAGCTCAAGACTTGTTGATTCTTTGCTCATGCTGGTGATAGACTGTTGTTAGTTGACTTCTATTCTCCTGGCTGTGGTGGTTGCAAGGCTCTACATCCCAAGGTATAAATTCTTCAATTTCTGGGATATTGAATCAATCCATTATATATATATATTATTTTTTTTCTTAATGCTAATTGTTTCTATGTTTTTAACCAGATCTGTCAGCTGGCTGAACTGCATCCAGATGCAGTTTTTCTAAAAGTGAACTATGAAGAACTCAGAACTATGTGTCAAAGTCTCCACATTCATGTCCTTCCATTCTTTAGATTCTATAGAGGAGCTGATGGACATCTGTGTAGCTTTAGCTGCACAAATGCAACTGTGAGTATTTCATTAATCAATTTTGTTCCTTAATCATCTTGACAACAATGAATCAATAGTTCTAAACAAAAATTTCTCCTATTGCAGATAAAAAAATTCAAAGATGCAATGGCCAAGCATGGTGGGGCTGAGACATGTAGTATTGGAGCGGCAAAGGGATTAAACGAGTCAGAGATACTAAAACTAGCATCAATTGGGGAGTTATCCATAAACTTACCATTACCATCCACCGAGGAAGAAAGAGTGGATGATTTGGTTGCAGGAAGTATGGATTTATGTGGGGTTTTGAGCAAAGCAGATAATAAGATGGAAATGGAACTTGAAGCAAAAGGTGCTTTAGTCTAGCATTTAAAGTGTGGTGATATTATGGTATTTTTTTATTTTTTATTTTTGGGTTATTGATAATATGTGTATGATTGTATTTTCCCTAACCAGGGCTCAAAAGTATATTTTTTTTTGTTATTCATTGAGCCGTGCCAAATTTCATTGATTGGTTTTTGGATTGGATATTGTAATCTTATTCAAGAATTCACAAGGTAAAGAGTATGTTATCTTTGAACAGTAGCTTGCAAATTGCAGTTAAATAGCATATTTTCTGTGTTTTTTACCACAAAGTCCATTCTTGGATTGCTCTGTGTCCCAGTGATTATCATATGCCGGGATTTGGATGAGTTGAAGAGATTGAAAGTTGGGATATTTTGGAATCAAAGTGAATGAAGCCAACAAACGTTGAGGTCATTGAGAATGGTGCAAAGACTGACTTTTAGCTGGGTCCTGTTTAATTATTGCCATAATTTAGGGTTGATAAAATTATTGGCCGCTCCTTATAGCTCAGGAAATGTTGGATTACCTTAAAAATTATTGAGAATCTTTAGAAAAATATATTTGGTTAATTGGTGGGTATGTTATATTAATATGTTTGGTTGGGAAGAATAAATTAATGGGTATGTTATTTAAATTAGTGAACTGTCTTCTAATTAAATATTATTATTATATTATTTTTAATATTAATTGTTATTTGGATTATTATAACCCCCCTGCATTTAAAAATTTAGCAAAAACAACCTTATAATAAAAGTTTGAAAAATTAACAAAGCACCTCCACCAACCCAGTCACTATCGGCCGTCGGCAACCATCGCAGGCCGTCGGTAGCCGGCAACCTAATGGTGCACAGAAGGCAGGAAATGGCCTCTGTGTGCCGTATGGCCATTTCCAGCCAGAGATCTGGCCGGAAATGGCCAAACATGACAGATCTGGCCGTCAACGGCCAAATCGATGGCCATTGACGGCTAGATCGACGGATCTAGCCTTTGACAGCCAGATTAGATTTGGCCGAAAATGGCCATATGGACGCATGACGACAATTTTTAGCTTTCTGTGCGTCGTTCCGACGGCAGCGGTGGTGGTTGCTGGCGGCAGGTGGATGGGGGTGGTGGCTTGGGTGGACTGCAATTTGTTTTGAATTCAGGGGTAATTTTGTCCAAAAAGTTAATTAATTGGGGTGAAATAGTAAAAGTCATATTCATATAAATAAATTCAAAAATCAGAGCATTATTGTCCTAAAATTTTATTAATAAGGGATATAATTGTAACAAAAAAAGATAACCTTAGTAATCTTAGAATACCTAAGAAAATAGAGGTAATCAGATTACCTCCAATATTACTAATAGTAACCACTATTGTAGTATTTGAAGATTACCGGTATCTTATATTATTTGACAACCAAATATGATAATCAAGATATAAGATGACTTAACTTCAATAATCTCCAATAATCCTCAATTAGACGCCCCTTTGTGTTTTATTCACATAACAATTGATCAATCACCTTATACAATAATAATAATAATAATAATAATGTTTGGTTTATTATTTTGGATAAGATTTTTGGAATAATATTGGATAGTTAAGTAGAGTTATGATTACGAGAATATGATTTGAAAATATGTGTTTGATAGAGTATTTTTACCTTGATATTTGTGTTGAATATTTGATTGATATATTTTTTTATAAATGATTTATTAATATAATATTTTGGTGGATTTTATTAAAATAATATATTATTAGTAGAGTATTTTGACCTTGATATTTGTGTTGAATATTTGATTGATATATTTTTTTATAAATGATTTATTAATATAATATTTTGGTGGATTTTGTTGAAATAATGTATTATTATATATATAACTTATCAATTTAGGACAGATCTGGTGGTGTGGGGTGGTTCACGGTGGTGGGTGGGTTTCGCAAAAAAATTGTCGTCGGACAGATTTGGTGATGTGGGGTGGTTGACGGTGAATGTGCGACAAATCTCGTTGGGTGTGGGTGTGGTGGTGGTTCACGGTGAAGTGCGACAGATCTGATGGTGTGGGGTGGTTCACGATGATGGTGGTTGACGGTGTGAAGAAATTGAGAAAATAAAGTTGATGCGTTTATGTTTGGTATTTGCAGGTGGAGAAGAAGTTGATGGAAGAAGAAGAAGTTTGTAACGTGGTGAAGCACTGATGTGTAAGAAGATGAGAAAATGAAATAAAAATGAGAAAGAGAAAAAAAAGCTGCAAAGAAGAAGTTGGATGGAAGAAGAAGTTTGTAAACGTGGTGAGTGCAGTGAAGAAGATGAGAAATGAAACAAAAATGAGAAAGAAAAAAAAAGCTGCAAAAGTCTTAACGGTCAAAAACGTCAGGATCAGTTTTTCAGAATTCAATTGTGTGAATAATAAGCCAAACACTATTTAAATAATCGGATCCGAATATGAAAATAATATTAGCCAAACGCGCCCAATTGTATATATAAATGGCGAAAGTGGGATCCAGAAGGGAGCATTATGCGGTGGTAGTGACGAGGATGACTCAGAATCTTAGTCAGATGGACCCTATTCTAATTTAAATTATATCAAATTTAACGGATAAAGCTATGCTACTTCACCTGAAATTAAATTTATATATGGATATGTTTCGTGTAGAATGTAAATTTCAGATTGATCAGCCTTTATTCAAAGGGTTGTGGGTTTATTGATAACTAAATTAAAAAGAAACAGATTTGGTAGGGTTTATGAAAAGAATGAAACTTCCTTACTTGTCTGCTATATGCATAATTCCATTTGAGCTTTATGGCCCTATTCAGTTAAATTGTGATTATTAATGGTGTAAGGTGAAAAAGATTTACCATCTCTTTCTCCCAAACTTAATTTGAACAAGATAGAGTTAAATAATTTAGTCCTTATGGTTTTGGTAAATTAATGTGTGTCATAATTGACTAAAATATAATTAAAAATACCAAAGAATACTTCAACTACCCACAACCGCCTCCTCAATCTTAAATCACTTGTACAAAACCTAAATAAAACCATAGTTAGTAAATACGGTACGGTAAAAAAACGGTACGGAATTTTACGGGAATGATACGCAAACGATGAAAATACGTTTATAAAAATTCGGCCTTAAAATTCGGATACGGGAAAAATACGATACGGGTATATACGGGTTTTACTACTGTATATCAATATACGTTTTGAAAATACGGTAATATTAATCCTGATTTTAGTATTTTTATGATCATTGAATTAATATTCTCATTTTTCGTTATAGGTGTATGATTTATATTTTTTTAATTATAATATTTTAGTTTTTATTACAAATATTATAGAAGTGATCAATTATTAAATAAAATAATAATTTATTTGTTTTTTAAGTTGAAGAAGAAAAGATAAGACAAACGTGTGTTTTTGTTGAAGAAAGTTGAAGAGGAGAGAGGTAGAGACGCCAAAAAAGAGAAGAAAGAGAAAGAGGGCACAAAAAAGAGAAAGAAAGAGAGGCGCCAAAAGAAAGAAAGGGGGCCAAAAAAGAAAGAGAAAGGAAGCGGCGCAGAAAGGGAAAAATGCCCCAAAAGAGACTGACATGGCGCTTAAAAGACTGAGCATAAACGACGTCGTTTTGATCAAATTTCACCTAAAACGACGTCGTTTTGGCTCAGTAAATAATAAATTTTATTTTTAAAAATACGGCCGAATTATACGGGAATTATACGCGAATTATACGGCTAAGGCATATAATTCGCGTATAATTCGGCTGTGCTTATAGAATACGGGAATTCACTTTTATACGCGAATTATGGGTTGGCTTTAATTCGCGTATAAAACGCGAATTTACTAACAGGAATAAAACTACCAATATCATCAACCACCAAATTTTCTCCATAAAGAACACAATGCGACTATCCAAAACCAATAGCCATCGATCAATCGGTGAATATAAGAGTTCATATTTAATAGAAATAGTGTTGTTAAGGTGTTCAAGATCATAAACATGTTGAGATTGAAGAATAATTCTCGAGTTTTATTTCGTTGTTATACCTCAGTCGGTGTTATGGGAATAGGATGAGATATTGTAAGATTTCGAAGTTGTAATAGCATTCCTTTGGTTAAGAAAAATATGGAAGATAGGTTCCTTGGTCTTGTTAATGAATAACCAAAAAAGAATTCAACCGTTGCAAATTTAGTCCGCAGCTAATAGGATTCTTAATTTTTCACGTTTTATTTTCTCTAATATTTCACAATTAATTCTCTTTCTCAGCATAAGTTTAGAAAACTGAAGCCTAAGGGTGTACAAAACCAGATATCCGATCCGGTTGGAGACTTTTTTGATCCGATCTAAATATTTGGATCATGATAAAACCTAATCCAAATTTGATCCGAATTTTAGAGGATTGATAAAGTGAAAAAGATATGCCAAGCTTTTGCACCCTCTCACATAAACATCCGTAAGACTTTGGAAGTTTACAACATGATGGACATGCCCTTTCCATACACTGCAATTCTGGTAACTCTTCCAACTCTACTTTGCTAAGCTTGGATGCAACTCATATTTCTTCCCCACCTGCATGCATCATCATGCATTTCAAGTCTTCACAATATGTAACCTAATGGTGTGTTTGGTTAGGGGTAATATGAGATTAATGAGGTAATGTCATCTTATATTACTTGGTAATTGATTACCACGTTTGGTTGTCAAGTATATAGATTTTGGTAATCTTCCAATACCATAGTAGTTACTGTTGGTGATATGGGGATAATCTGATTATCTTCATTTTCTTAGGTATTTAAATTACTTGGTAATCTTATTTTTATTACATTTTTAGCCTTTATTAATAATTTTAGGACAATTACCCTATTTTAAAAACATTTACAAAATACCAATTGACTATTTTAGCCTTAATACAGTTTTTAAGACATAAATATCCCTAAAATTTAAAAAAATTACCAATGGTGGTGGCCAGATCTGGAAACCATCGCCAGCGGCCTCCTGTGGAGATGGAATGGCTTATGGCTGACCTTATCTGGCCGTTCTA